AAGAAGTGAGATAAGAAATACTGAAGAGTTGAGCATTGTATTGAGAGAAGAGTGGAAGAAAATAAGCCTTAGATTAGCGGCATGTTTGGTCGGAAGTATGAAGGCTCGATGCGAGGCAGTAATTGCCGCAAAAGGAGGGTCGACGAAATATTGATTTTTCTTTTTTACTTTATATTCTGTTAATAAACATGTCAAAGCTTATTCTTTGTAAACATGGAGTCTCCAAACACTGAAGGGGATGAGCAATGGCTTTCCAAACATTTGGTACAAAATTTGCGGAAGGTTAATTTACATTTTCGTAGGAAACTGAATTATGTGTTGAATTTTAAACAACTAGAAACTGAGACTTTTGTGCTTTTTATAGACAGCTTTTTATTCCTATTAGTAAATTGTCTTTGATAATTATAGGATAATACATACTTAAAGTTTGATAATTAATGAATATATTTTTTTATTAGTTAACAACAGTAAAACTGATGGAGAGAAAAGGGATGGAAAGGCTCATATTTTCATTAAGTCGTCTTTTGCTACTGTCATTTGGAAGCACCAAAATTTACTCGTACTACGTTTTTCTAATTTTTTGCATTTCCAAACCACCTCATTAACACTGCGACAGTCGGAGCGACAATGGCTGTTAGTGACGTAATCTTCATTTGCGCTACGTGTGCTTCAATGGCGGGACAGTTACGCGTCAAAGCTGAACTTTGTTTTCTTCTATCTCCCTCTTTAATATAATACTTTTGTCAACATGGTAAAAAAAAAAAAAAAAGGAAACATACTTTCAGTAAATAACAACAATACTAAACATTCGAAATAGTCTATTATGCAATATAATGGTGGCTCTGTGGTAGCCATGGTCGGTAAAGATTGTGTTGCTATTGCAGCCGACAAACGTTTAGGCGCCCAATTTATGACAGTGTCGACCGAATTTAAAAAGATTTTTAAAGCATCCGAAAAGACATTTATCGGTTTGGCAGGATTAGCCACTGATGTGCTTACACTGTAATGCTTACATTATATATACTTGTGTGATTTTACTAAACCATGTTTCAAAACTTTAGAGCAGATCGATTCCGTTTCAAGACGAATATGTACAAGATGCGTGAAGAAAGAGATGTTGAACCCAAGACATTTGCACATATGGTCTCTTCAACTTTATATGAAAGAAGGTAGAAAAAAAGATGAAAAAACAAGAAAGTGACAGATATTCATCATGTCTTATAGATTTGGACCTTATTTTGTTGAACCAGTTATTGCGGGCTTAGGAAAGGACAACAAACCATTCATTTGCTCTATGGATTTGATTGGATGTATCAACTTTGCCAAAGACTTTGTTGTTGCCGGCACAGCAGGACCTAACCTATACGGCATGTGTGAATCTCTTTGGGAGCCTGACCTTGAACCTGAAGACCTCTTTGAAACAATTTCTCAAGCATTATTAAATGCACAAGACAGAGATGCTTTATCAGGTTGGGGAGCTGTTGTATATGTCATGTAAGTAGTAATAATACATAAGCATATTGAGAATTTGAGCTCAAAGTTGAATTTATAGAACACCCAATGAAGTCATTTGTCGTTCTCTTAAGGCTCGTCAGGTAAAAAGAGAAATCTAACAATAGAATTTCCCTCCTTTTAACTCTTTTTTAAAATAGGATTAAACTTTATAAAATAAAGAAACCACTTTTTCAAAATGATGATTAATCCTTCTTTTAAATTAGATAATTTCTTTATTAGGCAATTAATTGTCGTTATCCAATAAGAGTGTCAATTGAATCAAACACTTGCCTTTTACTATGAAAGAAAAAGGACTAGCAAATTCTCTGGACTCTATCCTTCTTTCTCTCTTCCTCAACAGTTTAAAATGTGAAAGAAAAATAATAAAGTATATAGAGTACAGAGCATAACCATTTAGGATTACTGAACGCGTCATCCGCCTATGTTATCTTTGATGTTCTTGTCTGAATGGCTAAGCCCACAGTGAACACTCTGCTATTTGCTGCTTAATGTAAAAAGATATCTAGATTTTAAAGTTTTCATTGCCATTTATCTGATAATTATGGGAGATGAGTGTTATGCCAATGCATTTAATGCTGTTAGAGGAATGCTTTCCAAATAAGGTAAAGTAAAATCAAAAGTGATTGAAAGGTGAACAAAAAAAAAAAGGACAATGCTGTGTAAGTTTGTCATTACATATTTTCAAATAAAGTCTGTTAACCCTTAGTCATATCGATATTAAATAGGTTTTAGAGTCTACACTGTTCATAGAGAGGGCTTCTTTTATTCCATATTCATCTCTTAACCAATCAAGAGCCAAGCTGAGGTTATTCTACGTCATCCGGGTATTGTGTAGGGGAAAGAAAAATAAATAAAAAGTACATTTTCACTATTTCTTTCTTTTTTCCCTCTTTTCTTTCTTCAAACTATATTTTGTGTGTATAATGTCTGCTTCTAGTTCAGTAGCTGATGTAGATGCTTGGATTTCTCAACTTCAAGATTGTAAACAATTAAGTGAAAATGATATTAAGAAGCTTTGTGACAAAGTAAAAATTAAAATGTGATGAAGTCTTCATCTATTTACATCTGTTTATATAAAGGCGCGCGAAATCCTCTCTCAAGAGTCTAATGTCCAACCAGTTAATTGTCCAGTAACTGTTTGTGGTAATTTCTAGGTTTAGTTATACTTTTGGTTCTCTTTTTGTTAATAGTACTCTTTAGGCGACATTCACGGTCAATTTCATGATTTACAGGAACTGTTTCGTATCGGAGGCAACTCACCTGACACAAACTACTTGTTTATGGGAGACTATGTTGATAGAGGATACTATTCAGTTGAAACAGTTACTCTTTTAGTATGTCTCAAAGTCAGATACAAGGACCGTGTTACTATTCTTCGTGGTAACCATGAATCACGCCAAATCACTCAAGTGTATGGATTCTATGATGAATGCTTAAGAAAATATGGAAACGCCAACGTTTGGAAGATGTTTACAGATCTGTTTGACTTTTTACCTTTGACGGCTCTTATTGAAGATCAGGTACGCACCCATTTCTTCTAATTTCATCGATGCTCATTCAAAGATGTATATATATAGATTTTCTGTTTACATGGTGGTTTGTCACCATCTATCGATACACTTGATCAAATTCGTTCATTAGATAGAATACAAGAAGTGCCTCATGAAGGTCCTATGTGTGATCTCTTATGGTCTGACCCAGATGATAGATGTGGTTGGGGTATATCACCCCGTGGTGCTGGTTATACATTTGGTCAAGATATTTCGGAGACATTTAACCATAACAATGGTCTCACATTAGTTGCAAGAGCTCATCAACTGGTGATGGAGGTATATTCTATTTTATTGTTATTTTAAGCCCTCGTTTTAACACATCAGCCTAGGGGTACAACTGGGGCCATGATCGAAATGTCGTAACCATTTTCAGTGCACCCAATTACTGTTATCGTTGTGGAAATCAAGCAGCTATCATGGAAATTGATGAACACATGAAATACACATTGTAAGTCTTCCTTTAAATATTATTGAATAATGAGCTTATGCTTTTATTAGCCTCCAATTTGATCCTGCACCAAGAAAAGGTGAACCTCATGTTACCCGACGAACTCCAGACTACTTTTTATAATTATCAAGAAGCTATTTTTTTTAAAGAAAAAAAAACAACAACAACAACAGTTCCCCCTCTCCCCTTTTTTTCTTCCCTTTTTCTCCCCCTTCTTTTCTCTTTCTCAGTCTGTGTGTTTGTCTACTCTTTCTATTTGAAGTGCAATCTAGCCAATGAAATCCATTTTTATAAATTTGTACAAATAGTGCATTTTGCCCTAAGAATTTAATCTTTTTTTATTTGACTTGACAAAATGAGGTAATACATTCAGTCATCCATCCATCCATCCATCCATCCATCCATCCATCCATCCATGAGTATTTACAATCTAGTATAGCAAAGTTAGCGCTGCTGCCGTCAGAGAAATTGTTGCTGAAATCTATAAGGGATCAGAAGAGAAGAAGCGTAACTTTACTGAAACAGTCGAACTTCAGATTGGTTTGAAGAACTATGACCCTCAACGTGATAAGCGTTTCTCTGGTACTATCAAGCTTCCTCACATTGCTCGTCCTCGTATGACCGTCTGTGTCCTTGGTGATGCTTTCCACTGTGATCAAGCCAAAGGTGCCGGTATGGAATTCCAATCTGTTGATGACTTGAAGAAGCTCAACAAGAACAAGAAGCTCATCAAGAAGCTCGCCAAGAAGTACGATGCTTTCCTTGCCTCTGAAGCTTTAATCAAGCAAATCCCTCGTCTTCTCGGTCCTGGTCTCCACAAGGTCGGCAAGTTCCCCACTCCTGTCTCTCACAATGATTCTTTGGTTGACAAGGCCAACGAAATGCGTGCCACCATCAAGTTCCAACTCAAGAAGGTTCTCTGTCTTGGTGTTGCTGTTGGTCATGTCGGTATGACTGAAGATCAATTGGTTGGCAACATCATGTTGTCTGTCAACTTCCTTGTCTCCTTATTGAAGAAGAACTGGCAAAACGTCAAGTCTTTGTACTTGAAGTCTTCCATGGGCAAGCCTCACCGCTTGTTCTAAACACGCTTTGCAAGAGAGAAAGAAAGAGAGAAAGGGTTTAAAGTGATGAACAAATATATGATCTGACGGTGTACCAAGGTGTTGGACGTAGGCGCCATCATCATTTGGGAGCTCATAACTTTAACATTGTTGTTTTTTTCTTTTCTCTTGTAAATAAAAATGGGTTTTTTCATGCCTTTACATTGTGACTTGTCTTATGGGCCACTCATTAATTCCCTCTTTCTATCTACACCCCCCCTGTGCGCTCGCAGCTCCTTTTTTTTCGCTTTTTGCAGACATGATCACACAGATACTTCGACAAGGCAAGCCTTTGACACATTCCTTGTCCATGACTCGTTCACCGAGGTCATTTCATCATTTAAGTGATTGTAAGTTTTATTCACCTCCACTTTTACACCACGTGCCTCGTATTCGAACATATCATGCGGTACCTCCTTCCACATCACTCATCTTGCAGAACCAAGTACGCTCGATTCAAGTGGGATCTATTCCTAAGTTAGCTTTAAGAGCCTTTCGTCTTCCTGCATTTGTAGCAGGCACGACTATTACAGGTGCAACTATTGCCAACAACAAACTACAAGGTATACGATTATTGAGAACAAAGTGGTATATGTGTGATTCTAATTCATTGTTAGATTGGGCGGAGAAAAGCTCGTCATTTATGCAAAAGAGAATGCTGGAAATAGAATCACTATTTGCTCAGGCGCAAGAAACCGTAGAAAACTTTGATATTTCGATACCAGAAATACATATACGATTGCCGGATACAGTACGTCGATTGTTTGCTGGCAAGCCAGAAGAATCAAGCACGACAAATCACAAGCTAGGGTCCATAGAAGAAAAGGATAACAAAAAACAAGAAAACAGCAACAACAACAATGATGGGGAAGAGGCAGCGGCGGCGGCGGCTGTTGCTGCAGGTCTTGGATTATATATGAACAATGATGAAGAGGAAGAAGAAGAGCAAGACGAAAGGGACAAAAAAAAGAGAAAAAGAAACGGGATATCTTCCCAGGATGAACAGTTGATGATGTTGACCAAGAAACTTATTGAAATCAGAAGCATATTGATGTCCATTGATCATAATGAGACGCTGAGACTACCCAGCATTGTCGTGATTGGATCTCAAAGCTCAGGCAAGAGCTCAGTGTTGGAAGCCATTGTGGGTCATGAATTTTTGCCCAAGTGAGTTTGT